AATTCTAAATCTATCACTTTACAGATTCCAGCTTCTTTCCCAAGACTGGGATATCTGTATTTTCTTAGAATGGTTGATTTGCTGACTTGCTATAACTGGGAAACAAACTAAAATCCAACACTTCATTTTAACTTAAACTTCTACAGTCATTTTGCAGGAATGGTGTGAGAGAAGATGCTGTGGAATCGACAGATCCATGTTTGAGTTGCCAAATACTGACAATAGCTCTGTGATTTTGTTCTATTTCATGAAAAATTTTCCCGTCTATCATTTTTCCAAGTGGATTTACCCATTAGTACAAAATGCTTTAAGCATTTATTTCACCAGTTTAATAAACTAGCTTTCTCTTTTGAGGTTATGTTTAATCAGTTACCTAAAACTGATATACTCTGGATGAACTGATAAAATGAAGCCTTTAGAAATGTAAAACTAGCCCTGGCTGGTGTAGCTCAGTGGATTGAGCGGGGGCTGTGAACCAAAGCATCTCAGGTTTGATTCCCAGTCAGGGCACATGCCAGGGTTGCAGCCCACGGCCCCCAGCAACCGCACATTGATGTGTGTGTGTGTGTCTCTCTCTCTCTCCCCCCTTCCCTCTCTAAAAATAAATAAAATCTTAAAGGAAAAAGAAGGCCTGTCATGGCAAAGGCCTCAGCTTTAAAAAAAAAGAAAATGTAAAACTAGTAAGAGTGAATTCTAAGAAGTCAGGTGATTCCCTGATTTCTCACACCGTTTCCAAAAGAAGTTGTGGTTATAAAATCATGTGTTCATTGTAGAAATCTTGGGAAATAAGGAAATATGTAAGAAAAAAATCACCTGTGCCCCAACACCTAGCGGAAATTACTATAGGCATTTTGGTCTATATTCATGTAGTCTTTTTTCCTCATATATATTTTTAAATATACACATAACCAAATGTACTTTAGTTCTTTATAGAACTGAGATCTTACCCTAGCATGGTTCTCTATTTTTATCTATTTGTTTTTTTACCGATTCTTGTATTGTGAACATTCTTTCATTAAAAATTTTTAAGAGCATGATTTTTATGACCATGTAGTATTTTTTCATCCACTGTTTCAGGTGACACCCTTAAATTCACAACTAAGTTCTCTGCAAAACAAAAATGTTATTTTTATATGTAATATTTTCATAATGAACAAAAATGTCAGTTGTATGTTATTACAATTAAGAATGTCAAAAATGGAGGCAGTTATCCAAGTGATTTAGGAAAAAAAGTTTGAGTTTTCTGACAAAGTAATTACATCAATTTTTTTTAAAGCTGTGTCTTCACATAGAAATATCTTCCCATTGTTTGTTAAAGTTTTAGGTACCAATGATACAACAAGACTTAGCCCTAGCCAGGTAGCTTAGCTGGTCACAGCATTGTTCCAATACACCAAAGTTGTGGGTTCAATCTCTTGTCAGGGCACATATAAGAAGCAACCAGTGAATGCGTAAATAAGTGGAACAACAAATCAATGTTTCTTCCTCTCTCTAACATCAATAAATTAAAAAAAAATTTTAAACCCAATACCTGTTCCAACATAAAAGATAACTTAATTTTTTTTTATATTCGATAAGTGTAACACAAATAAAACATCAGCCTTTTTAATTCAGCAACTTCACAGAAGATGACTGAAAGAATCAAATTCTTGAGAAAGAAAAGGATGAGATCCAGAGTACAAGTGGTAGAATTCACTCTGATAGAGGGACACCTCTTCCATTGGAACAAGAAAGATACAAGGGAAAATGAGCACAGATTTGAACATCTGAAAGTGAAGCATTCTTCACAGATGGTTTCTGTTTTCTCAAGTATGAGGCAAGGTCACCAAGTGAAAATGGGGAGAAGTAGGGGAAAGCGACATGAGTGAGTGATTTTCCGGGACAAGTGAAGGTGCGAATGCTTAATCCAGATGAATAGCTTTTCCAGCCAGTGTTGAGTGTTCCTATGAGATCTGACATCATAAAGTAAAACCAGCCAGCCCTGCTGTACAATTTTTCTTCAGTAATATCTGCTTGATTGCAAGCATTGAGAAAGTTTGTTCTAGCAGGGTTCAGTCCAAGCAAGGTTGAGGTTCTTCCAAGTAAGAAAGATAAAGAGAGATGTTGGGGTAACAGAGTTGAAACTTCGTAAAGGACTGACTATAAGAATTAATAAGGGAATCTAAGTCAGGTGAGTTGGAAATGATTATATGATGGCAGAAGCAGGATAATAGATTTTTTTTAAGTGTTGGGGTTAATGCACTGGAGGTCTCAATTAAGTCGAGTACAATAAATGAGCCAAGTGGAAAAGGATAGTGACTGACAATTGGGATGCTTGAGATTGAGATTTAGAAGTTAAAACCGTTATTGATGACATGGTTCGGGCTTTTACCACTGGAGTGGGTGGATGTGATGGAATAGAGGAACAAGTCGTTGGAGATGAAGAGGTCAAACATCTAAGAGGCCAAGTTGGTGTTGCACTGGACAGCTGTAAGAATATTGAATTTACACAGAATGTAGACAAGAGGGATGATGAGGAAAACCTAGAGCAAGAAGCAACAGTCTATAATTTCTGACAGAGAGTAGCCAGGAGGTTGATAAATTATAGCAGTAAAGATGGTAGAAGGTGATTTAGCCAGATGATAGGAACTTCAAATGTTTTTGAAGGAGGAAAGAGAAGAAATAGTTTGGAAATAGTAATCAGAAACAAAGAGGCCACCCAAACTGTAGACCCAACATAGAATATGAGAAAAAAATAGCCTTTACTTTAGAACTCTACAGCAGAGTAAAAAACAAAAATTAACTTCACTAAAAATGGCAGTGCTAAGGATATACCTGGTGCTAGCTAGGATGCTACCAGTCTGAATTTGATAACTCATGAGTTTGTGGATGCAGAAAAGCAATCTGTTTTTATGACATCAACCATGTCTCCTCAGAAGTGTAGAATCTGCAAGTAACCTCCTGCTGATAGTGTCCCTGGAAAAGAAAAGGAGAGATGATCAATGAAAAGGAATGAAAATGTTTTTGCTCAGAGAACATTTACCTCAGGCATCTAGAATGCAGTTCTTTGTGAATTATATTTCATGTTGGCCTATAGGGCATAGTACTGTGTCTACTTAATATAATTTTCAGATGCAACAGGTGATTTTTTTTTTTTTTTGCTTGTAGTAAAAGTAGGATGAATTATTGCCCCTAACCATTACACTGCCTGGAAAATTTCTGGTACAAAGACCCTATGAAAAATACAGTTCCAGTGCAGTGTCCTTGGGTGATTCCGTCATTGTACTCTACCTACATTACACTAAGGTAGAAGAATATTATCCTCATGTGCCAGCAATGGAACCTCCTTTGAGAATACACTTCAGGGACCTAGCTGCCCAGGAATCTCCAGACCCTTCCAGTCAGATCAAATCTAGCTCTGGTACCCTGACCCTTTTCACTTACAGTAGCAAAACCTGCCTCTTAAGGCTATTGGAACAGTTAAGCCAAAGCCAAACTCTGCAACTGTCAAGGTAACAATTTAACAGGATAAATTGTGGCTACTATGCTGAGGACTTGGCTGCTCTTCCCATTATAATTTGAGACTATACTAGAAGTAACTCAGGGGTGTCAAACTCATTTTCACCAGGGGCCACAACAGCTTCCCAGTTGCCTTCAAAGTGCCAAATGTAATTTTAGGACTGTATAAATGTAACTACTCCTTAACTAGGAGCAAGCAGCTTGTTGCTGCCGCTGGGTAGAAACAAGGTGCCAGGACGGATAAAACAAGGTGGACGGCGGGATCTGGCCTGCGGCCCTTGGGTTTGCCACCTGTGAAGTAACTGAACTGTGGCAGGCACATTGGGACCATCCCACATGGATTAATTGCATTTGTGGGGTTACAAGTACTGCAAACGCATGGTCCTTCCCCACTCGGCTCAGTCCTCCCTCTGAAGATAAATACACTCGCCTATGTGTTCCGCAAAGCTTGCTAATTAAAGCACAATTTTTAATTTGTATTACTGAGCTCAATGCTATTGCTTAAATATATGTAAATCTGAGGTTTTTAGAAAATATAAAATTGCCTCTATGAAAATAATCCACCATTAAAAGAAATGTCCCCTCCATTTGAACAAAATGAAATGACTTAATTCACAGGAGACATTTTTTAGTGAGGACATTTTAAATTTACTGGAATTTAAACAACCATGCAGAAATCAGATGTTTAAAAATCATTTTTAAGCAGCTTTTAAAGTAGTCTGGAGATCAGAACTGGGGGAATGATTAAGACACCTAGGATTCAAGATCAGCTTCTTTCTTTTCTTGGAAGAAAGCGTAGTAAAACAAATTCCTAAGAAATACAAATATTTGTTATCAATGGCATCTTTCTCTGGAAGACATTGCAGCAAATTTCTGAGATTCTACCAGGTTGTAATATGAATCAATAATGTGGTTAGGGTTCCTGGCCTAATTATAGGCCACTAGGTTTTCTGTATGGTTAAAATCTACTATGTACTTTCTTCAGTTATCTCAACTTGCCCATTAAGACATTCCTAAATGTTTCATTTTGTTGTATTAAACATTAGGTTTGGTTCAATGTGGTAACATACAGAGGGAGGGATCTAACTCTGAGACAGCTTCCAACAAAAATGCCCGTTGAGCCCCAACTAACTAGTCAAAGGTAATAATTTACAAATGCCCAAGCCTATACGGTAAAAAGCAAATGGAATATTTAACGATACAATTTTGCTACAAATTCCAGAACAGTTTGAAGTGCCCAGCAGTCGAGGTCTGGCTTTTCCTGAATTTCGGGAACAAAAGAATCGTTTACAAGCCAAGACGTGAAGGTGTTTGTGTTAAAGGCATTCTAAAGTAAATCAAATCAAGGACGATGAGTGTCTGCAAACACGTCTCGCTTCTTTCCTTTCAGATATAACGGTTGGGGAAGGAAATGTTGCGGCCGCTCTCCCGTGGATCAGGGTCCTGAGGTTGAGAAAGGCCCAGCCCGGGTCTTCGAAGCCGGTCAGCGACGGACCCGGGGGAGGCTTCTTTCCCAGTAAGAAGGGGGAGAGGAAATCGCACACAAAAGCAGTAGGATTTGTCCCTTATCAGCGTCTAAGGGAAAGGGTGGAGAAAAGGGAAATAGAAACGGGCCAGGCGCCGTGGATCCCGCCCGAGCGGCTTTTAAACTGCGTTTCCACAACCTCTCGCAGGGCGCCTCGGCTAATGGAACCCGCGCGAGGCATCGGGCCAATCACCGCCGCGTTTCCTCCGGCCGCCGGCCAATGGCGGAGCGCGTTCTTGGTGCGTGGGCGAAGCAGGCTGCTCTCCTTGGCTGTCGTGTGTGGGCTGGGGTTGGTGCGAGCTCCTATTTGGACTGCACTTGGTTTACAGTTCTGCTCTGGGGCTTTTGTGTCCAGCTTTTGCGTTCTTTTCCGTGTGCGAGTTTTTCTCTTCTTTTTTTTTGTTTTTTTGCTCCGCGCGCTGATCCGGGTTGGGAGCCTTGAGGCTCGGAGGCGGCAACGCGTACACCGCCCCCCCCCCCCTTCCAGGCAAGGAGCGAGCGCGCCGGCGTGAGCGCGGGTGTGACGGCTGCGGGGAAGGGGATTTGCCGCCGAAATGCCGGAGTTTCTGGAAGACCCCTCGGTCCTGACGAAGGAGAAGTTGAAGAGTGAGTTGGTGGCCAACAACGTGACGCTCCCGCCGGGGGAGCAGCGCAAAGACGTGTACGTGCAGCTGTACCTGCAGCACCTCACGGCGCGCAACCGGCCGCCGCTTGCTGCGGGCGCCAACAGCAAGGGGCCCCCGGACTTCTCCAGCGACGAAGAGCGCGAGCCCACCCCAGTCCTCGGCTCCGGGGCCTCCGCCGCGGGCCGCAGCCGAGCCTCCGTCGGCAGGGTAAGGACGCCCGGCTCCGGCCACAAAGGCGGCTGTTTGGCGGTTGTCGCTCCCCGTGCGCTTGCGGTCCTCCCTCCTAGGCGCCCCTTCGGGCCTCCTTGGCGGCGGGGCTGGACACCGGAGCTGGACTCCGGCTCTTCGCCGCGGGCTTGCAGGCCGTGGAAGGGGAGGGCGCTGGAGAGGAGAGTCCGGAGTTGGGGCCGCGGGGCTGGCGTCTAGGCCGAATGTGTCTGGGAGGCGTGAAGTTAGCGTGTGCTCAGGTGGCGCGTGGGCGTCGGGCGCGAGGGGTGGTTCGGTGTTCCTTGACCACCGGCCGCCAGGACTGGGTATTCGGACAGGTACTTCGTGCCCTTTTCGGAAGCGCTTAGTTACGGTCAGCCCGAAACTGCTCTAGGTTACGTTCGAGCGTTTTCCCGCTTTCTTAACTGCAATGAAGAGTAACTGGGTCTCGGAGCGCTCCCTGGAGGGCAATTTGTGCATGCTAATTTCTAATCAGAATTTGAAATAAATTCCCGCCTTTTTATGTTGGTTTTTTTTTTTTTCCCGTCTGTCATCTGGAGGGCTTTTTGAGCCGTTTATGTTTTTCTTGTTCGTGTTACTGTTTTCCAGCAGCAGGCCATATTTAGGCGGGGGAGCATTAAATACACCACTAAGCGGTTATCATAGACGCTTAAACATTTGAAAATTTCTGGTGATTAAGGGCATAAGTTTTGGGATTTTTTTTCTTTTTGGTACATTTTTCATGAGGAAAGCAAAGACGTCCGAATCAGGAGAAATGTTTATTTCATGACATTCTGATATGTCACTGTCATAGTTTGGAGTATCTAAATCCCGGGTAAATTTCACATTGGCTCCAGCAAAGGGATATTTTGTTTGAGAACAGTTTGTTTTTTTGTTGAGTGGGTTTCTATACACTGTTTTGCTGGTATGAATCTGTCCACTTACCAAGACTTCATATCCTAACAGAACGTAGTTAAAAGTAGTGATCGGTGTAAGGGACGTTGTAAGACTTGGACTATGGAGTTTGGACTTGTTGCTACTAATTCCTACTAGAACTCGAAAGTAATTTCAAAGTTAGGTTTAATTTTTAAAAATTTATCTGATGTGCTTTCTGGACTGCCAAAATAGAAATGAAAGAAAAATGTAATAAATACATGTAAATTTAATTGAAAACCTTACCTTGGGCTTTAGAAATTTGAAAATCTTATATTTTAAGTCAATGCCTGGCAAATACTAGTACCAGATAAATATTTGTTCAATAAATATAAAAGACCAACCGTACCATATTGTTCCTGATGTCTTGTTTTTGTGGTTTTGAGGAAAGCCATTGGACTCTTCCATAAAAAAAACAGAAATTTACTTTTAAAGTAAAGCATTTCCTTTATCTGTTTTTCCCCAGCCCCTCTGAAGAAGAAAGTAATGCTCAAACTATTTCAGTAAAGATTTGGTTGAAAATAAAATATTTTCCCTTTAAAGAAGTACTTTTTAAAAATAACAGGTCTTCTATAGAACCCTATCTTGGGCTCTGCAAACATACTATTCTTGAGCTATGAAAGTAGTTTCTGCCATATGCTCTTAAGTACAGGAGATGGATTTCTGCTGACCCCGCCCACCACCATAATTGAATTGTTTGAATTTTTTGTATGGATAATTGATCATGTTTGTTCTCTTCTCAACAGATGTCCCATATTGTTTGTTCAGCACTATGCCAAAAAGTTCTGGGTGAAAGAAATTAACATTTTAAGAGAACCTGTTATGTCCAGTAGCACGCTGAGCCCTTTTTATATCATTTAATGTTTTGAGACACACAGAAAAAAAACTATTTCACAGCCCTAGATTTGGGGCCTCTGCCTGAGTACTTAAAACTCAAAAAATGTGTGCCCTTGGGTAGCCTTAATAGTGTGAACAACCTGAAAGAAGTTAATGGTAGTTGGTCAGTAGCATCATCTGTTTTAAAGCACATTCAGTAAAAATTAGTTATAATTTAACTTAGGAGTTTAATAGACAGTTTATCAGGCATAGGAAAAATATCTTGAATAGACAGAGAACATTCCTTTTACATATACAACATTTTATGTCCCAGTCATTGTTAGCCCATGTATAGTAACAATATAGACTCAATTTCTTAAAGAATATTTCCAATATAGGAGAAAGCCAAATTATGTTTGAGAGTTGCAGAAAAGACAGATCTTTTAGGTGGTGAGTTTTTAACATTTTAAAACAAATCAAACATTAATGTGGATTTGGCTAAAGTCATAGCATGTATCTTCTATTTAAACACGGGTTTATGAGGAATATTTTTGATTAAAGGAGAAATTGTTTCATTTTAGTCATTGCCGTGGACTCTTAGATATGTTTCACATGACCAAAAGTTGGTTTTGGTTGTTAGTTTTTATATTTCTAAGCTTTTATTTTGTGCATCTTGGTGATACCAGCATTTGTAGATGTCGAGATTATAATCAGGGATGTCCAGCACATGGGCCGCATGTGGCCCAGGATGACTATGAATGAGGCCCAACACAAAATCGTAAACTTACTTAAAACCTTTTTTTTGCTCATCAGTTTTCATTAGTATTTGACAACTCATCCATCATGGCCCAGAGACACCAAAAGGTTGAACACCCATTATCAACACAAAAATAAAACATTTACAGAGATGGTGATCTGCCTTCTCCTTCCAAAATGCAAGGCAGTGTAGTTAATTTCAAATTATTTTTTGGAACTGGGTGAGGTAAGTTCGTAATATGCAGATTGCCTGAGTTATCCAGGCAACTTTGAACTTAAGTATCCTCTCTTATAAAATGGGGATATTAGTATCTGTCTCATACTAACCCTAGAATTAGTGAACCCTAGTGTTTTTAGGGTTCATTGGTTTCATACAAAGTACTTAGAATATAACGTGGTACATAATAAATACTCTCTAAAATCTATTCCATAACAATAATTGCTATATTTCAGCATGTTTGCTCTACTAATGATAGAAATTTTAAAGTAACTCATTGGTTGTACCATACAGCTGTTGAATTTTTTAAATATATTTTTTAAAGATTTTATTTATTTCTTTTTAGAGAGGGAAGGGAGGGGGGAGAGAGAGAGAGAGAGAGAGAGAGAGAGAAACATCAATGTGTGGTTGCTGGGGGCCGTGGCCTGCAACCCAGGCATGTGCCCTGACTGGGAATCGAACCTGCGATGCTTTGGTTCACAGCCCGCGCTCAATCCACTGAGCTACGCCAGCCAGGGCAGCTGTTGAATTTTAAAGTTGAAAAAGATATTAGAGATCACCTGACAGTTGGGAAGAAACTAGAGAACAGTGCCTGGCACATAGTAAGTACTGACTATTTTTACCAAATAAAACTAAGAGATTATATGATTTACTTAAAGGAACAGAGCTTTCTAGAGGCAGAAATCAGTACAACTAATGGTTCCCTATTGAAACTGCTTGTTTGATAATTATATATGCCACATTGTCTTTCAATTTTTACTCTTATTAAATTTGATATTTCATAAAATGGCATTACTTTTCTGAAAATTTTCTCCCTATAAATTAAAAACCAAACAGCCTTTATGAAACCTTGCTCTGTTTAACTTATTCCAATTTATTGACTTCTTAATATTTCTTTGTACAGCTGTAGTTTTTCATTGTTTCAAGAAAATATATGGTTTCCTGCTTCAATTTGATAAAGATTTATTATTCCTTAACAGGAAATGGATTTTTAAAATATAAGTGATTTTTTTGCTCCCCAGATGGTACTTTGACTCATCATTCAACAAAACAGCTTATCATTTGCCTATTCCAGTGTCAGACACTCTTTGTTAGATGCTTGGGATACAAATGTGATTATGATAAGGCCCTTGCTTTCTGCTACCTTATTAAATGCTGCTTCCAAAATTACCTGAGCTACCCATTTAAAATACAAATTCTTGGGCCTAAGATTAAGATTCAAGACTGGATGGAATATAGAGGTTTTGATAACAAACCAGACTTAGGGACTGTTAAGTAGTTCACCATCTGGACAAGATAAAACATTTATACAAATAACTAATAAAAAGTAGGTTGAATGGGGTGAATGCCAAAGAAAGATTTCTTAAAAACCTCAGGCTGTTACAAGAAGTTGAAATTCCTAGATGTTTTTGTTGGTAGTCGGGTTTGAACATTCTAATGGTGGGAGGGATTATCTACAAGTAATCTGTACCTGATTGGTTTCCTTTAATTTAAGGTATTTATATTCTACAATGGAGTTTTTCTTTCCAGCCTATCCACACATTTTGGAAAATTCAAGTAGATCACTAACATGAGATTGGGTCTGTTTGATTTTTTTTTTTTTAAGTAGTTTCTCTAAAGAATCAAGTCTTTAACACAGAACTCTTAGATTCTAGGCAACTATTTTGATATCAAGATGTGGGTTGCTTCAAGATTTGAGTCTGAGGATCGTAGATAAGTGCAGTGTTGCAGGGGTGGACAAATGTAGGTTTACAGTTATATTATTACTTATTCTTATATGCATGTATTTATTTATTTTTAAAAGATTTTACTTATTTGCAGACAGAGGAGAAGGGAAGGAGAAAGAGAAAGAGAGAAACATTAGCGTGTGGTTGCCTCTTGCATGCACCCTACTGGGGACCTGGCCAGGAACCCAGGCATGTGCCCTGATTGGGCAATGAACCGGTAATCATTTGGTTTGCAGGCCCATGCTCAATCCACTGAGCCACACCAGCCAGGGCATGTTTATTATTAATTTGTATTAATATAGTTGTAAACCTATTTTTGCCCACTCCTGTATATATGTCTCAATCTTATGAACTACTTAAATTTTTATTTGGTTGAAAACCAAAAATTCTAATCCATGGCCAAATAATGTGACCTTCCCCTTTCCCCCCAGCATCATTGGAATAAAATATAAATATAATTGCATAAAATATACATTGTATTAACTGTTCTGCCTAAATATTTGGGCCTAAATTGACTGTGGTATTTGTGGTCATGATTGAAACAGCCATTTTTTTCAGTGCTGTAATGCTTCCTAGGATTACTGAGGCATTTGTAGTGTTATCTGCCACAACCCTGAAAGGTACTCACACTTTTGCTCCCTTTTCGTGTTTACCTTGGAAGTTAATGTAGTTTTATCAGTAGATACTGCCATTGCTTAAATTATTTTAAAAACTTCCTTTGTGATTTCTCTGAAAGCTTGTTCCATGTTCTTTCAGCTACAGTAGTGCCCCCCACCATATCCGCAGTTTCAGTTACCCTTTGTCAACTGGTCTGACAACATTCAGTGAAAAATTCCACCCTGGCTGGCATACCTCAGTAACTCAGTGGATTGAGTGCGGGCTGCGAACCAAAGTGTCGCAGGTTCGATTCCCAGCCAGGGTACATGCCTGGGTTGCAGACCATAACCCCCAGCAACCACACATTGATGTTTCTCTCTCTCTCTCTCTCTCCCTCCCTCCCTCCCTTCCCTCTCTAAAAATAAATAAATAAAATCTTAAAAAAAATTTTCAGAAGTAAACAATTCATACATAAGTTTTATATTGTGTGCTGTTTTGAGTCATGTGACAAAATCTTGCACTGTCCCATCCAGGATATGAATCGCCCCATTCTTAGTTATTGTTAATCTCTTACTGTGCCTAATTTATAAATAAAACTTTATCATGGGTATGTATGTTTGGGGAAAACATGGTCTATATAGGTAGGATCGATATAGGTAGGGTTCAGTGCTATCTGCAGTTTCAGTCATCCACTGGGGGTCTTGAAACATACCACCCTCGGGTAGGGGTGGACTACCATGTTCTAATGAAATGGTCATATGTTGGTTTGGCAAAAAAGTTTGTTACATTTTTCCCCCATAAAAGACACATTTTTTCATTTTCACCAATAACTTGATTGATTATATTTTGAGTATGTCGGTTATCTTCCACTATTGAGTGCCAACCAGTGAACCAAAAGGTTGCCAATTCGATTCCCAGCCAGGGCACATATCTGGGTTGCAGGCCAGGTCCCCAGTTAGGGACATGCAAGAGACAACCAATCAATGTATCTCTCACACATTGATGTTTCTCTCCCTTTATCCCTTCCCCTCTCTCTAAAGATAGATAAATGAAATCTTTAAAAGAAATGTACACTGATAGGACAGCTATCACAGTAAAATCTAACAAAATTGTTCCAAATGAAGTTAAAGACTACTAAGCACTGCTAGAGCCATTGTGCAGAAAAAACTAAACAGACTTTTTGGCCAACCCAATAGGAGTGTCAGAAGTGATATGTCTGACTTTCTTCATGGGTCAAAAACTGGCTACCAGAGTCCACTATATTACGAAAATAATTCATTTGGGCTTTGTAAATTCTGATGTGCTTGTTTAAAGGAATTATACATCTTTGTCATAAAATCTTTAACTCCTAGGTTAATTTAAACTTTTAAATATTATTAAAAGAGGCCAGTAATGAATAGTATTTATAGTTATCTGGATGAAAATATTTAAAACAGTCTATTTGCTCATTTGAAATTTTTATCCATCACCACCTCTTTAGACAGGTGAGGCAAAACTGAATATTTTAACAATAATGTCTTTTTTTTTTTTAGATTTTATTTATTTATTTTTAGAGAGAGTGGAAGGGAAGGAGAAAGAAGCAGAGAAACATCAATGTGTGGTTGTCTCTCACATGCCCACTACTGGGGACCTGGCCTGCAACCCAGGCATGTGCCCTAGACTGGGAATCAAACCTGCAACCCTTTGGTTTGCAGGCCTGCACTCAATCCACTGAGCAATGGCAGCCAGGGCAACAATAATGTCTTTAAAATTTGAGTTACTTGCTTGGCTGTTAAGGTATAATTATAATCAAACTTAGCAAATATCCCCAAACAGTGAGTTACTTTTAATTTAATCAAATTGCCAAGGCTTAATATCACTCTAAGTCATCTTGAAGGTGAATTTTTGTGTTTATTGTATACAGTGTTCTTTATATAGTAAATGAACATTAATTCATGTGGAAATGACTTTGTTTACAGAAAGCTACAAAGAAAACTGATAAACACAGACTGGAAGATAAAGATGATTTAGATGTAACAGAGCTCACTAATGAAGATCTTCAGGATCAGCTTGTGAAATATGGGGTGAATCCTGGCCCTATTGTGGGTAAGGTGATAAAATTTCGAGTGTCTTTTCTATGAAGCAGTCCTCCAAATTGCTTTTCCCTCTTGTTTATCTAGCAGTTGTTTGGGTCTTAAGGGTCAGCCTGTCATTAATATTTATATGACCAGGACCTTAGTTTCTTTAACTATAAATGAGGGAAATAAAATGAAAGAATTGAGCTAGATAATTTTCAAGATTCCCTCTGTTGTCAATATTGCTTCATATGGTGCTCATACTACACTACATGATGAGACACGTGGATCCTATATGTTAGTTGAAGAAAATCTGAGGTAACATGGCTGGCCAAATTTATTCAAATCAGTAATTTAGTGACAGACTTGTTAATATAACTCAAGCCTTAATTCCGAACATTTTCAGTTATCATTATGTGTATATGGGAGAATGATAAATGATGCTTAGATCACAAAACAAAGCTCCTAAGTACCTTTTTTTTTTTATTAAAAGTCTTATTTTTGTTGGAATTCAAGAATGACACCCTGAAGAATAAGCTGAAAAGAGAAACTTGGGACTAAATGTGCTGGAATTTCATCCTTTGCTTACTTTTGGTGATTTTGCAAGGTCATTTATGTCTTAGTTTTGTAGGGTCTTCGCAACAAAGGTCAGGATGAAGAAGGTCTACTGTTTTGATCTTCTGAGTTATTTAAAAGTTTGAACACTGGAGAGTTGTGGGTTTGTTTTCTCCCAAGCATAGTTGCAGACAAATTTTGGAATATTGTCTTTTGCGTTATTTAATAACTGCCTCTAAATAGATAGTATTTGCCTATTAATATAATTACCAACACACATTTGATAACCCTTTATAAATTTAAATATTTAAAATTCCAAAAGGGAGATGTTGAAAAATGTGATCTCCATCACGTCACATAGTTTTCTTTTGTGTGTGTGGTGAGAGCGCTTAAGGTCAACCTTCTTACCAAATTTCATGGATTCGAGGCCTGTCCACAAAGTATCCAGCCACATAATGTGAAAAATAGAAACATTTATTGATGAAGATATAAGAAACATTGTACACAAGACAATGATGCCTCAGCCCCATTCAAAAGTAGGTACCTTAGGACCTCACACAGTTCTCCCAATTGCCATCAGCTGCCCTGTCGTATTTTCCTGAATCTTATTGATGACCTGAAACCTCTTCCCTTTCAAAGGTGATTTTAGTTTTGGGGTAAGCCAGAAGTTGCAGGATACCAAATCTGGGCTATAGGGGGCCTCAGTCGCCTGGGTAATTTGATGTTTCACCAAAAAAACTCTGCATAAGATGGGATGCATGAACGGGCCTGTTGTTGTGATGAAACTGCCAATCTCCGGTTGCCCATAGCTATAGCCTTCTGTGTCATGGAAGTGGTTTCCTTGGAGGAATGTTCAGGCTTAACACAAAATTTATGCAGATTCTTTGCTCTACTCAGCCATTTTGAATTTGATGGCCACGCAATACACAGGCTCACTTAACAGCCTCTACCACCCCCACTGACTAACACAGTGAAATTGTCATTATTCGCACATGCACGTTCCAGTCCACTCTCCTTGGCTGCCAGGTTACATCCATGTTGCACAAATGTTCTTGTTATATTAACAATGGCTGGACTTTTCTAGGACAGACCTTGTGTAGTGCAGTATCATTAACTATGATTCATGTTATACATAGATTTCCAGAACTCACTCATCTCACATAACTGATATTTTGTACCCTTTGACTGACATCTCCCCATACCACCATCCCTACCTGTTCATCTTAAGACTACTTAAATAAAATTTTGAGTAGTGTTGATTTTTTTAAATATGTTTATTAATTTTTTCATCTTACAGAAATCAGAAGACATGCAGCTAGTATAAAACAAAAGCTGCTTTTTGGTTTTTAAACTGTCGTTGATGTTGAAATGCGTTAAGAAATTTCTGGTTTTTAAAAAGATTTTATTTATTGCGTTTTAGACAGAGGGGATGGGAGGCAGAAAGAAAGGGAGAGAAACATCAATGTGTGGTTGCCTCTCTCATGCCCCCTACTGGGGTCTTGGCCCGAAACTCAGGAATGTGCCCTGATTGTGAATTGAACCTGTGACCCTTTGGTTCACAGGCCAGTGCTCAGTCCACTGAGCCACACCAGCCACGGCAATTTCCGGTTTTTATACATTTTTTTTAATAAAAGGTCATTTAGCTGCAAAGTATATATATTTAAATGTAACTTAACACTTTAAAATGTGCACGATATTTATATATTTGATTTCCAGAACTTACTATCTTGCATGATTGAAGTTTTGTTTCTTCTGACCAACATCATGTTAAATATATTTACATTGTAAAAATGATTTATAGTACTTTTCCCATAACTGGATAGCTTATTTATTGGTGTATTAATCTCTTAGAGGTGTGAGGTTTTTGGTTCTGTTTTTGTTGTTGGGTTTTTTTGTTTTGTTTTGGGTTTGTGGGGGTTTTTTTAGGATTTTATTTATTTTTAGAAAGTAGGGGGAGGGAGGGACAGAAATATCATTGTGTGCTTGCTCTCATGCATCCCCTACCTGGTACCTGTCCCCCAACCCAAGCATGTGCTGTGACTGGGAATCAAGCTGGGGATCCTTTGGTTTGCAGGCTGGCACTCATTCCACTGAGCCACATGAGCCAAGGCTCAAGTTTTATGGGGTTTTAATCACAGTAATTGAGGGGGGTATAGTCTGTTAATAAAAATAGTTGTTTTAACAAAGACTAGTACTGGAGAAAATACATAAAGTCCAGAACTTTTCAGACAAAAATACTCAGTTATACATGGCTCTTCAGTATGTTATCTAATAAGACCTATATCAACCTACTACCTATTTCATGCCATAAAAGAACATTGTTGTAATGATTGCCCTGGCTTCCTCCCCCCGAGTGAAAGTAACATTTTAAAATTGCTAAAGATAATGTCTGAGCTGGATCTTAATTAAGACCAAGTACTAAAGTGAGTTCTGCCTTAAAACAGGAACAACCAGAAAGCTGTATGAGAAAAAGCTGTTGAAACTGAGGGAACAAGGAACAGAATCAAGATCTTCTACTCCTTTGCCAACAATTTCTTCTTCAGCAGAAAATACAAGACAGAATGGAAGTAATGACTCTGACAGATACAGTGACAACGAGGAAGGTAAAAATTTATATGATGTTAATCAAATAGATGTGACTTTTTTCCCAGACTCATAATATACAGTAACCATGAAGAAGATAAAATTAAATATTACCAAGACATGTAATTTTTGCTCATATCCTTAATTTTCCAAGTACTTTGATTTAACTAGCTTTTGTTGAGAACTCAAACAGAAAAGTGCAAATGTCTAATATTCTCTCACCTAAAATTGCCAAAGTGCCTGTGTCTTTTTTGCTTCAAATTCATTTTTCTAAGAAAATAAAATATTACAAATAAAGACATAGTTCTTCCATTTACTCCTTTCCAAGTATCATTTCCATAAAAGCTCATTTTTAAAAATACTTTTTATATGCATCTATTTAATACATGATATTATTTTGTGCTTTGAAAGATCCATATAAATGATATATTAAGTCCTGTCACATCTTTACTTTGTTATGTAATCAAGATGTCATTGATTTATTGCACTTGTTTTATTTCTTGTAGTTCATATCCAATGGTAGTATTTACATGGGCATGGGCATTTCTATGTTCTCTATTGATAGGCACTTAAATTTACCATTTTTGCTAGATAATCTTATTTTAAGGCAACTTTAAAGGAAATATTTTGACATAGTAGACTATTGTAAGAAAATTTGACTATATTTAAATATTTTTTGAAAATACAGAAAGTGACTTTTTAAAATTTATTGTAAGAGCAGGTTGATATTTAGAAATGTTTAGTTTGTTTATATGACATGTTTATTGATTTCATGATTATTTAATTTGATTTAACTTGCTTATATTTCCATAAGCATTGCCTGCCAGGGCATAGTCTATCAAATTGGTTGTTCAGAATATGAAATATAGTCTTTTCCTTCAACAGCACTATGTTAGCAAAGAGGCAAAGAATAAAATCAGCTTAAACACAAGTAATGCTTAAACTTCCTGCCTCTTTTGCCTCTACAGGAAAGAAGAAAGAACACAAGAAAGTGAAGTCCACTAGGGATTTTGTTCCTTTTTCTGAACTTCCAACTACTCCCTCTGGTGGATTTTTTCAGGGTATTTCTTTTCCTGAAATCTCCCCCGGTCCTCCTTTGGGCAGGACTGAACTACAGGCAGCTAAGAAAGTACATACTTCTAAGGGAGACCCACCTAGGGAACCTCTTATTGCCACAACCTTGCCTGGCAGGGAGCAGTTGCAGAAGTTAGCCTCTGGAGGGAATTTGTATATGTCCTCCATTTCTAGCCATGATAGATGTTTAGAGAAAAGTTCTTCGACATCTTCTCAGCATGAACTCGCTGCCATGTTGGTCTCTGCTGCAGCTTCTCCTTCACTGATTAAAGAAACCACCACTACTTGCTATAAAGACATAGTAAAAAATATTAACTGTGGAGAGAAAAGTGGAATTCAACCATTATGTACTGAGAGGTCCCATGGTTCAAGTCAGTCGATTCTCTCCAGTTCAAGGAAAATACTAGAAGAGTCTGAGAGATCACAAGTAATTTCTCCACCACTTGCTCAGGCAATCAGAGATTATGTCAATTCTCTGTTGGTCCAGAGTGGGGTGGGTAGTTTGCCTGGGACTTCTAACTCTACACCCTCACTGGATGTAGAAAACATATGGAAGAGAATTGATCAATCTAATATTCAAGAAATTGAATCCCTGTCTCCTCCACGAAAATTGCCTAGACTCAGTAAAAAGTCAGAGGAAAAGGATTCAGGTTCCCATGTGGCATTTCAAAATATACATGGATCTGAACTGATGTCGTCTTCTGCCAAAACCGTTGTCTCTCACTCACTTGCTACCTTAGGCATAGAAATGTCTAAGCAATCACAGCATGATAAAGTAGATGCCCCAGAGCTGTCTTTTCCTTTCCATGAGTCTATTTTAAAAGTAATTGAAGAGGAGTGGCAGCTAATTGACAGGCAGCCGCCTTCATTGGCATGCAAGTATCCAGTTTCTTCCAAAGAGGCAACCCAGCTATTATCAGTTCCAAAAGTAGATGATGAAATCCTGGGGCTTATTTCTGAAGCCACAGCACCAGCAGGTACTCAGGTAGCTTCAGCTGATAAACAGGTGGACTTAGCACTTCGTAGAGCATATGAAGCTGCAGCATCAGCATTGCAGATTGCAACCCATACTGCCTTTGTAGTTCGGGCTATGCAGACTGACATTAGTCAGGCTGCACAAATTCTTAGCTCTGATCCTAGTCATACACACCAGGCACTTGGGATTCTGAGCAAAACATATGATGCAGCCTCATTTCTTTGTGAAGCTGCATTTGATGAAGTAAAGATGGCTGCCCACACCATGGGGTCTTCCACTTTAGGTCGCCGTTATCTCTGGCTAAAGGATTGCAAAATTACTCCAGCTTCTAAGAATAAACTGGCTGTTACTGCCTTTAAAGGTGGAACATTATTTGGAGGAGAAGTATGCAAAGTAGTTAAAAAGCGTGGAAATAAACACTAACAACATTTAAAATAGAGGTATCCATTTTATCTTTGAAACAGGGAACTTAGCAGATTCTCTGGGAAATTTTAAGTACTACTTTTAAAGTGAAAAAATTTTAAGGTCTTTTTAGTTTCTAGATGGGGCTAATTTCAAAGCGTCAAGCTTCTGCCCATTGAATTATAGTTTAAAAGTAGTTGCCACATAAAACTGCATTTTAAAAAAAGTACAGATAGAAAGCCTCATAAACTTTAAAGCTTTGTAGATCACATTTTTATCTCAAGTAGTCCACTCTTTCCTATTTTACCTAAGATTTTACAGTTCTTCAAAACTAAGAAATTTTTTTAACTAGAATATAAAGTCTTCACTGGTCTTAATATCTTTTTACTTTCTATAACTTGTCTACATTTTTTCTTTTATTTTCTCACTTTTGTTTGTTTTTTACTTATGTCTACAGTGTCATTCATAATATTCTAGATCATTGCAACTTAGTGTTCCAGTCTGTGAATTGTTACTGATCCACAGACAAGATAAGCATTCACTAGAATTTGAACTTAGAGACACCTTTTAGATTAATGACAGGGGGTTTCTGTTTGTTTTGTTTTGGTAAAAATTTGTTGATAGAGAAAACAGTGCTGACTTACATTTTGTTAAGTACCTCTTTGTGGATTGGTGGCAAATAGTTCGTGGACCACACTTTGAGAAATACTGCCCTAGACCATAATTCTCTAGGATAGTGCATTTTCGCCATCACTACTTATTAGATGAACTAGGCACTGGAAAGATGGGGCTTTTCATGTAACACTTTCAAGGTATCTTGTAGTTCATAGGTTTAATCTAAAGTCTAAAAGCAAATTTAAGATTTAAGTTAGTTGGAGGTTTTTTTAAAGTTATAAGAAATAATACTAGATCCTAGTGTTTTTGTATCTATATAAAACAATAAATTCTCTTGTGTTTCCATTTCTATGATTGTAAGATGAGAGAGTCTAACTGTAGAGGCATTTGATAATTGAATTTCTTTGTATTTTTATGGAAATAGTAGTATTAAGTATAAGTAAAGAATGGGCCCTTAGTTACCCCAGCTATATTCTTAGACTGTGCATGTCCATCTTTGCAGCTTTCTGGGAGTAATTTTATTTGTTATTTGTCTTCGGTAATGTACATGTATACATGTACCTACTCAGTGCTATGTGACTTTAAAAATGTATTACTGTAGAATGCTTCTGCAAATTCAATAAAGTTGTTAATTTTGAACAGTTTTGTGTGGTCTCTAGCAACATGTTTTATGTGTGTTTTATTCTTGGAGTTAAAATAAGTTAGATGTTTGTGGGTGAACATTCCTTTATCATTTCATCATTGAAATTCACTTGACATTACAATGGTGTAGTTGAAAATATTCTAAATATTGTTTCATTGTATTTGAGGACCATGTTTTTTATTGGTTATTGGAATCTAAAATTTGTAAGAGGAATTAAACTGTAACCAGATACCTTATTTGTTTACATCATTTTTCTGTTCAACTACTATTGGGTTCTTTGGATGCTTTTTAATTCTTAGAATGAGTTAACAAAGCTTAAGATTTTATAATACTAAGGATAGTACCAAATACAGATATATTGATAGATCTATTAATAGGAGCCTTGGGAAGGGGGGGATAGAGTTGCTTAATCCTAAATAAAGTAATCCTAAATAGAGTACCTTAATCCTAAATAAAGATCAGACTAATTGAACTATCATGCAAAGATAAAAATTCACTGTTTATTTTTGGGAAACATGCAAGGAGATGCTGGACTGAGTAGTGCTAGGGAACTAGCAAGACACGTGGCTGGCTTTCTTGACTACTTTTCAGTACAACTGCATTGAGTTCATGCAATTTAAGCTTTAACAATTGACTCCATTTCTGTCTCTGGAGAAAATGAAGTTTTTGGTAACAAGTTTTAGAAGTAACAACTGACATTTTGCAATGTGGTGATAAAGGACCACAGAATGTGGAAGTTAGCTAAAATTTTTATCAGCCTTTTAATAAATCTAGCTCTTCAAATGGTGATATAACCAAGACTAGGGGAATGGAATATTGAAGCCTATAAAAATATATATCCAAATTATGTTAATAATTATTATGGTGGTATGCTAAGTAATACATATACCCTAGCTTTTCTTCAAAGAAATGTTATCTGTATTATGGGGAGGAAGAGAAGTAACCTGTGATTGCTTGTACTTTTCTGTCAACAAGATTCCTCCTTAACTGTACCTAGGTTTTTTTATAATCACATCAGAAAGAATGGAGGAGAGACTTAAACTGCACTTTCATATGAACGTCATTGCACTTATTACTATCAGAAGCTTGGTACCATACATCTTAAAATTCCCTATAGCATTTTTCTTTTCATATTCCAAATTCCAATTTAATAAAAAACCTTTGCACTGTACGGACAAAAGAATGGTAACAACTGTATTTTAATATTTTTTTCCCACGTCTAAATTGTTTTTTAGTGAAAAGCCTCCTTGGGAGCAGTTTGAATTCACTTTGTTTGAGGCTGTTAGCTTCTGATAAGAAGCCCTGATCAGATTAAGGAATGGGGGAGATAAACAGAAATGTAATAAAATAAAAATTGCAAAAAAAATTGTTTTAAGTTAGAAATTGCAGTTAAACAGTTTTGGTCTGTTAAGAGAATACCAATGGACAGCTTGCTTTAAGTAGTAGTATGGCTAAAATCAGGATTCCAAACTGGTGTTAACATGGTTGTGGTTTATTGTACGTTTCAGAGAGTAATGGTTTCTCTAATGTTATTTCCAGACTCTAAAATAGAGCTCAAGCTTGAGAAGAGGGAACCACTAAAGGGAAGAGCAAAGACTACAGTAACACTCAAGCAAAGAAGAGTTGAGCACAATCAGGTACCTTTTAGTTTTATGATTGCTATATTCAGATATAAGTAATCTCCAGGCAGCACTCATTTCCTGTGTCCTAAGCCTTTCGATAATAGTTGACACTCAGATTCCAATGCACTAAACAGTGTTCATTCCATCGTTCATTAAATGGCATTAGAAACCTAAATGTTGTGTGTTTTGTCAGTAGTGTGGCCTGTGCTTACTGCAAAAGTGAGGGTTGAATGTCTCATTTGTGTTTGAATCTGTGTGCCAATAAGCATGGTTCAAAGTCAGTCATACTGCTTTTTAAGATAATTTGTTTTTTAGTTTTGATCTTTAATTTGTGTTTTTCAATAACAGTTGACATTCAGTGTTCTGTTTCAGGTGTACAGCATAGTGGTTAGACATTATATAATTTACAAAGTGATGCTGTCAACAAGACTACCCACCTGGCACCATACATAGTTATTACAGTATTACTGACTCTAATACCCTATGCTGTACTTCACATCCCCATGACCATTTTGTAACTGCCAATTTGTATTTCTTAATCCCTGCACCTCTTTCACCCAGCCCCTGAAGCCTCTCATCTGGCAACCATCAGTGTGTTCTCTGCATCTATGAGTCTGTTTTGTTTGTTTATTTTGTTTTTTAGATTCCACCTAAAAGTGAAAGTATATCGAGTTTGTCCAAGAGAAGTATTTTAACAGGTGGAAATGCCTAAGCAATTCTGAAATAATTTCTTTGAAAGGCAGGGGAATGGTTTTATATTTGCGTGTTTGTCTCTAGATTTCTGGTTTTGCTTTTATTTTTGCCTGTCTTGTGTGACTTTTCCCTCAACTCTGAAGTTTGGTCATAAGACCACACTATTTTCTTTCCTTGTTCTAGATGAAAACTTTTTTTACTGTGGGTGAGGCAAGATGCATTTAATGCCGATGTAGAAACTAGGAAAATCTGGAGAAGGACACTGAAAATAGGCAAGCATGGAGAGTTGTGGCTCAGAGTATTAAGGCAAGATGGTATAGTGCTATCAAGAACGTGGGACTGGTCAGATAAGTTAAAAGGAGGGAGGAGAAGTGGGATTAAAGATGGTTTAACGGGTAATTGTTTTAGTTGGGAAAGTTAGACTGAAGGACAGTATAAATAGTCTGCAACAGGCAGAATTAGACAGTGGCCTTTATATACAAAATTTAAGACATAGAAAAGTGGAGGGAAGAATTTCATGACCCTCCAGTCACAGAACCTCAACAGCTGTCAACATTTTACCAGTTTTATTCCATCTTCACCTGCACCATTTAGCCTTTCTAAGTCTTTGGTTTTGAGTTTTGCTGGAGTATACAAAAGCAAATCTCTGGCACAGTAAAATTTTGGTCTATATACATTCAATGCTATCTCACATCTAATAAAGTTATTCTTCATAATTCTTCAAGTTTCAGAAATGTCTCATAATTAAATTGTTCAAATCAAGATCCAAACACACTCCATATACTATTTTGGGTTTTTGTTTGTTTGTTTTTGTTGTTTTGTTTCTTAAATCTGTGGCTATTTCCACTATATAAGTATTGCCCCTCTCTCCATTTATTTGGTAAAGAAACCAAGTTGGTTTCCTACAGAATTTCCCACATTCTGAATTTGGCAGATTGCTCCAAGTGTCATTTAATTTGCTCTTCTATGCCCTGTATTTCCTGTGGTGTGGGAATTAAGACTTACAGTAGGGCAGTGTGATAGAACTTTCTGTGGTGATGGAAATGTTTGTATCTGCTGTCTGTTATGGTAGCCTCAAGCCACATTTGTGTATTGAATATTTGGAATGTGACTAGGGTGGCTGAGAAACTAAGATTTTAACTTTAATTTTAATTGCTACATGAGGCTAGTAACTACCATATTGGACAGTACAGATTATAGGGTTAATTAGACTCAAGTTCAGTTTCTTTGACCAGAAATGGTGTTGTAGCCTTTGTAGTGGGTTCAAATGTTGAAAGCCTAATCCATCCATTATAAAGTTCCATATCGTCATTTCATTTAATGGTTATGGCAGCCATTTTTGATTATAGTCAGATCCATTCATTTGAGGTTGTAAGGTGATTTTTCTCATTCTCTCATTCCTTTATATCTATGAGTGAAATATTTTTTATTTAAAGATTTTAATTGTTTATTTTTTGAGGGAGGGGGAAAGGGAAGGAAACATCGATGTGGGAGAGAAACATTGATCAGTTGTCTCTCACACACTCCCAAATGGGAACCTGGCCTGCAACCCAGGCACATTGCCTGACTGCAAATTGAACTGGCAACTTTTCGGTTTGCCAATCCACTAAGCCACACCAGCCAGGGCTACAAGTAGAATTTTTTAATCAAGAACGTTTTTACCTCGTGAACTGCTTAGTTACCTTAAAACATACAAGAGAGCCAGAAAAATGTTCGCTACTTTTTATTTCCTGTTTTCAAGGCAAAGTGCCCTAGTCACTTTGAAAGGTGATCAGTAAGTTTTTTAATCATATGTTTTTTATATATTTTATGACAAGTTGCAGTTCTTTTCTGCATATTCAAATTATGCCATCTTTAGCCCATGGCAATTACTGAGTTAGCCCTTTTTTGTCTACAATAGTTTCTTGGTTTTAGACACATTAAGATGACCCATGCTCGTGTATTTCCTGGCTCCTGTCAGCCATTTTTCTAAAGAACCCTAATCCTTTTGTTTTTAATCCTCACTCAATATGTTTATTGATTTTAGAGAAAGGAAGTGGGGGGAGAGAAACATTGATGTGAGAGAGAAGCGTCAATCAGTTGTTCGATGCCCTGACTAGGGATCAAACCCATGACCTTTTGGTATAGAGGATGACACTCCAACCAACTGAGCATCCAGCTGGTGCAAACCCTAATCCTTTTAATATAAAATATTACTTGGAGGCTACCTTCAATCTGGGTGCTGGTGTGTGTTCATTCCTACTGGTTTGTCATCGCTTCTAGGTGTTTGCAGTGGATAGCGCTAGAAGTACTTATTTATTAGAAAGAAAATAAATTAAGAATTCATCAAATGAATGAATGCAGGCCTATCTGGTATTGCATTTAATGGATGCACTGTAATTTATTTAGCCACTCTTTCAGTGACTATTTGAATTGTTTTCAGTTATATGCTACTTTAAAAAATGTAAAGAAGAACCAATGAATAGCCTTTCACATGTATCATTTGATATTTTAGCCAATTTATCTTCTGGAAATCTGAAAGTGAAATTGCTGAGTGATCTACAAGATATTGACAAATTGCCCTACATAGTAGTTAAAGCATTTTGTATTCCTACCATGTATGAGTATATATTTCTTATGGAGAGATATGCTGCTGCTTTATATGCTACTGCTTTTTTAAACAGTTAATACAATAAC